CTTCTTCGGATGCGTTGTCGACGTTCTGTTCGTCCCAGTCTGCTTCGTCTGCTGCTGAGGCGAAGGCTCGGTCACCACGAAAACCACCTGTGGGGTCCTGATTTTCGTGCAAGTTGGCGAGGTACGTCTGAAGGGTGACTCGTTTGTAGAAGATCACATCACGTGCTGCTACTGTTTCTTTTGAGTGGACGTCGAAGATTTTCCACGCGTTGTAATTCTTTTCCATGCCGAGGTGTAGTCCCCACTGTGCGCGTTGTGAAAATCTTCCCGCTCGTGCCTCAGGGGGTCGGTATTGTACCATGCACCCAAAAACTAGTAACATTTTTGTGCTGCCATGTTTCCCTGTCCACAGCAGATCCGGTGATGCGTTGTTCGGGAGTGAGGACGACGACATCAAGTTGTGCAGCATGACAGCATGGTCCATTGCTGCACGCCACTGGTGGTTGGGTAGCCGCATGCCACGTAACAGTTTGCGCATGATGTTCTGTAGAGTCCTGTTCATTCGTTTTGCGACACCTTGCTGCTGATGGGCGTAGGGAAGGGAGAGGAGTTGCTTGATTCCTCTTTCCGTTAGGTACTGCTTGAATCACTGAGAGGTGTATTCTCCTCCTCCGTCTGACTGGAAGCTTTTCAGCTGTGCTCCTGACTCTCGTTCTGCTACTGGTAGCCAGGCGGCGAACGCTGCGAGTGCCATGTCGTGGCTTGGTAGATTTAGATGCCAGACATATCGAGTGGCGGCGTCGATGAAGGTAATCGTGTAGTTGTAGGTAACTTGTCCTGGTTCGCGATTGAAAAGGATGTCGCTGTACACCTTCTCGAGTGGTGCGTACGCGGGTGCGCTCGGGTTGTGATGAGGAGTGAACGGTCGATGTGGTAAGCCAGATTCGGGGCAGGTAAGGCAAGTCCCTCGTGCCTTTTGAAGTTCTCTGCCGTCGGGTAGTAGTAAGGAGTCTTTGTCTAGAACTCCTGCTCTTATCGTGTTGTTTAAAACTGTGTTGCTTGGATTTCCCATTCGTGCGTGCCAGATTTCTTCGGAGGCGCGATGTCCGGGTGAGCGTCGATACGCGTCGGAGTTGGAGTAGAAGCTGGCGACGAAATTTGCGCTTCTGTGGGCTTCTCGTGGAGTTGGTTTCAACTGCTGTGCGGGTGTTGGTGGTGTTTCGTTGACGAGGACTGGTGTCGTTGGTCCTACTGCTGCTGCCGATGTTGTCTCTGCTGCTGCTGATGATGTCTCTGCTGCTGCCGATGATGTTTCTGCTGCTGCCGATGTTGTCTCTGCTGCTGCCGATGTTGTCTCTGCTGCTGCCGATGATGTCTCTGCTGCTGCCGATGATGTCTCTGCTGCTGTCGATGTTGTTTCTGCTGCTGCCGAATGTTGTATTGTTGCTAACGCGCGTGTTCTTTCTGCTTCAGGGATAGTATGAGAGTACCAGAAACCTTCCGGGCTGAAGTCTGGATCAAGATCTGGAGGGTGCGTCCAGTCCGTGAAGTTCACAATGGCGTCGCTGTCTGCGGTGCCCAGGTCCGGGACGAAGACGTTGTTCTTCAGAACTGCCTTCCCGATGTAGAGGCCGCCTTTCCCGTGGTATAACTTGAATTCCTGGGTGGTGCTGTCGGCTTCCAGGTGGATACCCTTCGCCATCAACTGGCTGACGCTCAGTAAGTTGTAGCCGAGTCCCTCTGCTATTAGTACCTTTGACATATGCACTATAACGTTGGTCTCCCTGGACTGAAGCTATACTACTCCTTGTCGTCGTGTGCGCAGGTTCTGGTTGTTGGCAACTGTGATGACGACCTCTCGTTGAAGTCGATGTTCGCGTTGGACGAAGCGTCCGGAAGAGCACATGTGTTGTCCGCAGCAACTGTCCAAGAACCAAGTGTCTTTCCCGAACGGTTCACTTTGAGCAATGGCGGCGTATGTCGGATTCGGTTGAAGAGACTCGCGGCGAGGCGTGCTGTTGTCGAGTTGTTCCTCGGGTGAGTAGTATGGTGGTGACTTGGTTGTGCAGGAATCGGTTATTTTTACCATGCAGTTGACGATATTTCTTGGCTTTTGCGCAGGTTGTCCTGTTGAAGTCGTTGAAGCTTGGACTGAAGTTGTTGGGGCTGCTTGCGTCGAGGTGACTTGGCTGCTCGATCGTCGGAGTTGTCACTGTGGTGTTGTCGATTGATGGCGATACGGGCAGTGCGTGCGAGGATGCCCTGAAGTCTTGCAGATATGGCAAAACGGAGGTACTGGCTTCGGTTGTTGTTGTTGTCGATTGTTGCTGTTGTTGTAGCGTCGCTGGGTGTGAAAAGCGAACTCTGGTACTGATGCTTTTTTCTTATGTCGTTCTTCTTGCAGGTCCATGTCCTGCTGCTCGGCATGGATTTCGGCGCAGAGTGCTGCTTCGGAGATTCTTCCGTGTGCTCGTAGTATGGCGCGAGTGGAGCGCCAGTGAGGGCCGAGACCACCGATGACGACCGTGACGAAGGCGTCTTCTGAAATTGATCCTCCACATCGAAGGAGCCTGTCGCGCAGCTCGCGGCAGCGACTGATATACTCCAAGCCTTTCTCGCCTGGCTTCATTTCTATTGTTGTCAACTGCGCCATTAACCGGCTTTGGTTTACACTGTCTGTTGCTTGATACAGGTTCTTCAAGTGGTTGTACGCGAGCTCCGCGGAGTTGCCGTAGCCTCGGTAAGGCCTGATGTTCTGCTGTTGAGTCGGGGTGATGTTCCTCAGTAGTATTGTGTACGCCATCATCGATTGATAAGTATACTGCTGCTTCTCATACTGTGTGCCGTTTGTTGGATATGGCAGGGACCCGTCGAAGAAGCCAAGGATCTGCGCTCCTTCCATCATCAGCTCGAATTCGAAAGACCAGGTGAAAAAGTCTTTTCCGTCAAAAGGCTTTGTCGTTTGCAGTTTTAGAACATGCGCAAATTGCGACTGAACTTGTAATGCGTCCATTGCTCTCTCTTGTCCCGGTGCAGGTTGTGGTTGCGGCATAAAGCTGACGGAGCCACGCTGGGGCTCGTACGGAGCAAAGGTAGGTTGTTGATGTTGATTCCCGCGTGCGTAGGATGAGCCATCGAGACTCATAGGCGTCACGTTGTTGTTGTTGTTGCTGTTGTTTGATTGCGCAGGTGCTCCTTGCTGGTGCTGCTCGTAGAAGGACATGAAGGAGAAAAAATTGTCCATCATGCTTGGATCGAAGCCCGCGCCTTGGTTTGCGGGTGTTTCCGTAGACCCAGCTGCTGGTCTCGTCGTTGTCCCCTCCTCTGTCTGTAGGCCAGAGGCAGGAGGTGGAGTAGGGGTAGTACCGGGAGAGCCGTTGGAGGAGCTCCTCTCCTTTCTAGCAGACATGTCTTCTTGATGTACTGAGTGTTGAAAAAATAATAGCTTTTAACTCTAACTGCTCTCATACCATGTTGGGCTGAAATGCCCTAGGATCTTTGTAGACTTAAAGTCTGAGTAGATGTTGTAATAGCGGAAGCGTTGAAATGAAGTCTTTGAACCACCTTGCGCTGGTATGTGAGGGCAAAGTGAGTTAATTAAATCAAAGAGATACAAGAATATAAATAGATGAGTACAGAGAAGATGAAGAGACATTATAACTACTTTTACTATTGCGGTTCGATACAGTGCGACTCGGGCAACTGCTCAATGTCGAGTCAGTTGTTTGTCCTTGCTGTCGCGCTGCGTCAGGTCAAAAGGTCGCTGACCTTTGACTTTCTCGTAACCTCCGACGGTTACGTTAACCACCAAGGGTTCACTCGCGATGCTTCGACTTGAGCTGCTTCGCTTTGTGTCTTGAGTTCTGACACGACAGAGGCGCTTTAACTTATTTGTTCCCAACAGCAATAACATGTGGTGCGATGCAAAGCACCTGGATAGAGCCAAATAAGAATGCATCTCAGGCACCGAACCAGTCAGAGCCCTGTGCATGATTTCAAGCTTCGTGCGAAAGGATGCTGAACTTTACCCAGGCTGATGGAGGCAGCGTTGCAGATGTGCCTAGGGTCGTGCCAGTGGGCTCGATGGCATGGGCTCACAAATTGTTGAGTACATGGCATTGGGCGTGTTGTGCGCATGTCAGTGGGCATGATCAGCGCATGCCAGTTGATGCGATGAGCGCACAGGGATAGTGGCAGCTGGTGGTGCTAAGAGGGTGCAGAGTGATGGATGCTGGAGACTTGCAGCAAGCTACGCCTGGAGGGGCTCTGGGAATTGTGGGGGAGAGGCAGAAAGAAAGGCGAAGGGCAGAGGCAGAGGAAGGAGAGGGGCAGAGGCAGAGGAAGGAGAGGGGAAAAGAGGGGGGTGGAAGGAAAACTCATGAAGGGGAAAGCGGGAGGCACTCTCCTCCATGAAAATGCTGTTTTTCTTACAGTGTGCCAAAATTGGCTTCTTATGAACGAAATTGTACGTGGTTGTAGAGTGATGCTAAAGGGAGGATACTACACTTCCACCACCGTCACGGTTCTGCGCAGCGCTGGTTACCACCATGTCACCAGGCCACAGAACAACTTCACATGGTCACAGCGTGACTCACGGGCACCTCCATCAAGGCCCCAGGTACAACAGCTCCAGGTTTCGGATGCGGCTCGCAGGCAGGCACAGCCAAACATTTCGCCGTCGCTAACGGAGCACACGGTTTCAGCGCAGCTGAAACTGTTCCGTCGTGTGACTTTCACACAGCGGCAAGCAACTGGCTGCGCTGGATGAAGCTGTCCAATGAGATTTTGTACTGTATCAGTATCCTGCTGCGAGAAATGCAGCGCAACCTTCAGGAGCTCCTGAAATCGCGAATGCCGCAGCGAAAGCGAGGGGAGGAACTCGTATGGCGCAGCACGACGCACCTTTGCCCTCAAACGCGTCTGCTGTCTTCATTCTATTCGCAGCCAGACTCAGCCTTGCAATAGACACACTGATTCTCATCCACTCGATTTCACGTTCCAGGGATCGCCTCAAACTCGATTTGCAACCCCGAGTTTCCAAGCCGCGGTTCCATCCAGCCATGGCTCGGATGACGTCACTCTCTCGCGCGCCTTCGCTCGACGTTAAGCGCCTCGCCGTCGTCATTGCTGGTGAGCCCACCGCGTCGCCTCGTATCGCCCTGACATGTCACACGACGCCCCTGCCTTGTCCCTCGTCGCCTGGTCGTGTCGCTCGTCTCCCTGCTATCTCGTCGTTTTGCGATGTCGCACTCGTTGCGTGTCGCTCATCGCCTTGTCGTGTCGCCAACGTCGCCCTACCATGTCGCCTCGTCGCCCGGTCGTGTCGCTCGTCGCCCTACATGTCATCTCGTCGTTTGCGATGTCGCACTCGTCGCGTGTCGCTCCGTCGCCTTGTCGTGTCGCTCCGTCGCCCTGTCGTGTCGCTCCGTCGCCCTGTCGTGTCGCTCCGTCGCCCTGTCTTGTCGCTCCGTCGCCTTGTCATGTCGTTCGCCCACGAGTCCGACTCGTGACGAGGTATCACGCGCCGGCGCGAGTGCATCATCGATAGCCCCAACAAGTGGTTCCCTCCGCACTTCTCTCCTCCGTTGCTTCTTCCAAGCCGCACTTCTTGACCGCGGGTACCTGTTTCCCCCTTCGCTACACATTTTCCCCATTCGCTGCGCTGTTTCCCCCTTCGCTGCACTGTTTCCCCCTTCGCTGCACTGTTTCCCCCTTCGCTGCACTGTTTCCCCCTTCGCTACACTGTTTCCCCCTTTGCTACAATGTTTCCCCCCTCGCTGTTTCCCCCTTCGCTACACTATTTCCCCCTTCGCTGCACTGTTTCCCCCACGCTTCGCTGCACTGTTTCCCCCTTCGCTGCACTGTTTCCCCCTTCGCTGCACTGTTTCCCGCACACCCCTCCCCTTGGCAGCACTGCTTTCGCTCTCCCTCTGCTGCGCAGCGGGCGGCGCCGTGCGGCGAGAGCTGCTGGATGTGAGCGACGGCCTCATGACCCAAACGGTCAGCACCACCACAGGCAACAGCGGCAGCACGAGTGGCGGTAGCACGGACCCTAAGGAGACTCTTGTTATCGGAGATGTAAGCACCGTCTCTGAGAGCAGCAGCAGCAGCAGCAGCAGCAGCGGGGGGAGCACCGGGAGCTCCATCAGCGGGGGGAGCACCGGGAGCTCCATCAGCGGGGGGAGCACCGGGAGCTCCATCAGCGGGGGGAGCACCGGGAGCTCCATCAGCGGGGGGAGCACCGGGAGCTCCATCAGCGGGGGGAGCACCGGGAGCTCCATCAGCGGGGGGAGCACCGGGAGCTCCATCAGCGGGGGGAGCACCGGGAGCTCCATCAGCGGGGGGAGCACCGGGAGCTCCATCAGCGGGGGGAGCACCGGGAGCTCCATCAGCGGGGGGAGCACCGGGAGCTCCATCAGCGGGGGGAGCACCGGGAGCTCCATCAGCGGGGGGAGCACCGGGAGCTCCATCAGCGGGGGGAGCACCGGAAGCGCCGGCGGCACTGGGGGCAGCACCTCTGGGAGCAGCAGTAGGAGCAGCACTGGCAGCAGCAGTGGGAGTACCAGCGAGTCAGACAGCATCTTAGACAATTATGGCATTAATGTTCCCATGCGACGTGAGTCATGCACATGCACACGCATCAATCCAAATCACGGTGTGTCTCCTACTGCAGACCATTGCCTCTCTGCTTCCAATGTTCCTTCTGCCTTTCTAAATCGCTCAACTGTGTCCTCTTCGGCCTGTTGCGTGCGTCCTCGCCTCGTCTGCCCGCTGCAGTCCGAACTGCCTCAGTGCTCACATCAAAGACCAACATGACCGCCAAGTTCAACGTGGATGTTAACATGTGAGTGCACGTCAATCTATCACAGCATGGTCACACCCTCTGCGCACATGTTGATTCCAGTTCCTCCCTCATTGTACTCCCTCTCACTCCCCCTCGCCCTCTCCCTCTCCCTCTCCTCCTCCCCCTCCCCCTCCCTCTCCCCCTCTCTCTCCGTCCCTTTCTCCCTCCCTCCCTCCTTCCCTCCCTCCCCCTCTCTCTCTCTCTCTCTCTCTCTCTCTCTCTCTCTCTCTCTCTCTCTCTCTCTCTCTCTCTCTCTCTCTCTCTCTCTCTCTCTTTCACTCTCACAGCACGTCAACCCAGCAAACGGCGCTCTACACGTTCACCGTGATGGGCGTGCCGAGCAGCCCGCGGCCAGTCTTCTCCAAGTCCTCCTACCGTAACAACAACACGGGGCAGCTCGTAGCAGAGTTTACATGCACACCCAAGCCAACCGGCACGCTGGGCACCTACCGCTGCACGTCGAATACTGCCGCCAACCTCACGGTGCCGTTCAGGCCAGTGAGCAGGGTGAAGGCGCTGGTGCCGCTCTTCTTCGCCCCCTATGACTTCTACTCGAGGATCAGCGTGAATGGTGTTACGCTGCGCGGTGACATCATCTCCACTATTGTTATTGGGGAGTCAATAGTGTATGTCATTAAACCAGGTCCCTAGATTCGTTTTGAGGTAGTCTGAGGCCTCAGAGTACACCCCTCCTGGAACTCTGTCTGTCAGAGGTGCCTCAAAATTTTAGTCTGAAAATTCAGACAGGCACAATTTTTTTTGTCTTAACTGTCAGAGTTACTTCAAATTTTAAGATGTTCATGCACTTTCGTAAAAGCAGTTATAATAGCATTGAAGCTGATTACAGCATACCATACCAACGCATCAGGCAACGTGCTCGTGCTCGTGCATCGCCTCTGCTCATGTCGGCGGCGTTCCGGTGTTTTTGTCACATGCAGCGCATGGTTGTTTCTGCTCTGCTGCTGATCTCATTTCGTTTTGTCGTGTGTGTGATTACCGTTCTGTACCCATTTTCTCGCATGTGTGCCGATTTTGTCAGTTTTGGATTTGCTTTTCAAGCGATGCGATCGCTCACCCGATCTGTATCAGGTGGGCCAAGTGCCACGCGACACCCTCGGCCCGAATAGAGCACCCGATCTGTATCAGGTGGGCCAAGTGCCACGCGACACCCTCGGCCCGAGTAGAGCACCCGATCTGTATCAGGTGGGCCAAGTGTCACGCAGCTGAGCTGGCAGCAGGCAGAAGCTGTTGCTTGGCGTGGCATGTAAGCATCAGACAGTGCCACACGAAACTTTCACTACGAATCAGGAACGTCGCAATTCACACCAGTGCGTGTTGCATATGTTTTTACAGCGAATCAGCATCAAAGTCGCCTATTCTTTACAGTACATAAGCGATAACTGGTACATGTGACGAGATTTTGTCTTCAGAAATCTCGTAATCACGCAACCCTTTCCTCAGCGTAAATGGAAGATATTCGCGACGACGAGTGTATTTCGATGTCCCAGCTGTCGAAGTGAGTGTTGCTCACGTCTTGGCACTCCACTGCCATCTCGGAAGTGGGCATATCGGAAGGAAAATTCCAGGAAACTTCTCTCCGATAAGCGCGCAGAGTGTACCCCCGATACAAGTCTGAGGCTCAGCCTACCCTAGTAAAATTAGGCTGAAATTTCAGACAACTCATAAGAAAAAACTCTGGAAAATCAGACAAGGTACAAAAATAAATTCTTAGAGTGCAGACTAGGTACCAAAAAAAAGTCTGAACTGACTCTGATTCAGACTCTAAAGTCTGATATCTAGGGCCCTGCATTAAACCGTCATAGGTGCATTCTGTAAGTTCAAATACTGGTTTGTGTTCATTACGTATACTGTGCTAGAAAAATACCATGTGATATCACATTGTGAGAGTCTCCCATAACCTTCCATTCTAGGGATCTTGCTTTGAGTGTCGTGGCGGTGCAATGCCGTGTGGAGCAATGCAGTGCACCCTGGATAGAGCCAAATAAGAGTGCACCTCAGGCTCACAACACATTTTAAAAATGGAGCCTCGTACGAGCTTCGTGCGAAAGGTTGCCTTGCCAGAATCTACCCGGGCTGATGAACGCAGCGTTGCAAATGTGCCAAGGGCCGCCGCAGTGGGCTCACAGATGGATGGCAGTGGGCTCACAGATGGATGGCAGTGGTGTCAGAATAGGGAGCGAGAATGAGCAGAGACAGGCCCTCAGATATCAGCGTAAAACACGCTGATTACGCTGATTTTGTAGCTCTGATTTTCGTTTTCCCTGACAAATCAGTACCGTATATGCTTCAATATTGCACTCTAATTTCAGTATTTGTGATTCTGCCACACTGACCATTTTACGTGGTTCTGAACAAGTCACACTGACAAATCAATATACTTCAGTGAGTCACACTGAAACGGACTTGACCGCGTGGGGGGGGGGGGGGGGGGGGGGGAGGAGTACGCGACGAGTGTACAGACTGTACCTTCTCGTGATTCACGAAACCCCACCCCACCCACACACTTGTAATCTTTTCACATGCGCTGTACTTACAGCTTGTGCGCTCCGAACCGTTTTGCCTCGCTGGAAGCCATCACACCAGAGAACGGTTAGCCTAGTAGACAACTGCCCAATGAGAACTCAGACAACACACCACTGGTGGGAGGGTCCACGCCAACACGCCATAAATTATGGCAGTGGGGTGGGGTGGAGGTGTTGTCATCTTGCCTGGAAAGACCGAAACCCTGGACCAAGATCCCTCACCATGGTGGCTCGGGAGAGGGGGTATCCCCATCTGCTCCCTCATTCTGTTCCTGCACTACTCGTGAACCCCTGCACGAAGTGACGTTTGAGCTCAAGCAGGAGTAGCTTCTCCCTCAAGCTCGGCACGCTCAGCAGAGCTCAGCAGCCATGGCGGATTCAACGCCCGCAGGTGACGGCCCTGAATCTGTCGCAGCCACGAAGCCACCCGCCCTTACTGGCCTAGACTTCTTACAACGAGCTTCAGCTGCTCCCGCGTTAGTCCCGCCATCAGCTCGTACCGTTGTTTTCCCTTCCTCGGGCCCCGAGGCACCTACCATCTGGACGCAGGGCAAGTGTTCGACGCATGTCGGCGCTGCCGCATCACCTCCTGTCGCAGCCGCATCAACTCCTGTCGCTGCAGCATCAGCTCCTGCCGCTGCCGCATCAACTCCTGATGCTGTCGGATCAACTCCTGGCGCTCCCGAACCCACAGGGAACCGTCATCCTGTCGCTGCCGGAACTACTCGCGTCGGCCTCCGTCTCAAAAGGGGTATCAAATTGAGGTACCTCCAGACAAAGATCCAGTGGGGTGCTAGTCAAGCTACGCCAACGTCTAGTGTGGGGAACTCCTCCCTGCAGGCCCGACAGTGTAAAGGGAAGGGGAAAGTGATTGAGGTTACTTCCGATACAAAACTGCCCGACATAGCCGAGGAGAAGTGCCAGGAAGCCTTATTTGTGTATAACAAGCAGTGGTCTGACGACTACCCGTGGCTTGTTTTGTGTCAGACGCGTGCAGGGTTCTCGTCAATGAAGTGCTCGGTCTGCATTGCGCACGGCGGTGTGGGCACAAACTTCGGCGCCAAAGGAGAAGGGGCGACCGATGTGCAGACCCAGGCAATGCGGAAGCATCAGCGAACACGGAAGCACCGCCACGCTCTGCGAGAGAGAGGACAGCCGAGGCGGCGCTCAAAGCTAACCGCCGCATTGACGACAACCCGAAGGTGAAAGACGTAGAGAAGGAGCGCCTGATCGCGCGCTTTGAGACGGCACTCTTCATCGCTAAGTCCGACGCCCCGATCGAGATGTACGTGGACCTCGTCAGACATCTGGCGCAGCGTGGCACACTGGGCTTCCCAAAGATCAGTTATGGTGCCTACTACACAACGTAAGTGACACTAGTCTAGTACATATCGGTGCATATTGTAAACTACGTGAAGCAATCACTAACCACATGCGTTGATGCCTGTGGAGGTACGGATTCGAAGAGATTACCGCCGCGATAGCGACATACCTTCGTGCGCGCCAGAGAGAGTGCATTGACTCGAGTCCATTCATTGGTCTAAGCTGCGACGACAGTATGGACCGCGTCAAAGGCAAGCACATAATTGTATTTGTAAAATTTCTGCGTGAGCACGCCGTCGTCACAGAGTTTCTGACTAACCTTTCCATTGAGAAGTGTGATGCAGCATCCCTTCATGCTAAGCTCACAGGATACCTTGACAGTATCAGTCTGCCGCTGGAGAAGGTGGTGGGTATCAGCACCGATGGGGCTCCTGTCATGATAGGCAACGAAACTGGCCTCGCTGGGCGTCTTCGACTGGAGATACCGCACGTGGTGGCCTCTCACTGCATCGCACACAGGTAAAATGATGATGTGTTGGTGTCGTTGCTATTTGATATGTGGAACATGGTATGTTGCTGTGCGATTTCTAACCCCTCGTCTATGCTATTGTCCCCGTGGCAGGGAAGCGCTAGCTGCAAAGGAGGCGGCTAAGGCACTACCAGAGCTTGGCATAATCGACTCGGTCATTCGCTCAGTGGCAGAAGATCTCGGCAGATCCAGCAACTCCAATCTCAACTTCAAGGAGCTGCAGGAAGTGTTTACTCATACCAACCTCGAGGTCCAGGGGATCCATTCCGTCCGCTAGTTGGGTCGCGGCGACGCAATCGCACAATTTGTCCGCGTTCTGCCTGCTGTCATCGTTATGCTCAACGAGACTGACGCGACGATGTACCTCCTGGTGATATCGTTCAAGTTTCATTACACCTGTTCTTCTTGGGTGATATGCACACGACACTCAACGCGCTCAACCTGCTATTCCAGAAGCGTCATGTGAGTTGTTGAGCTACGTTTTGCCGTTCTCTTCTTCTCCCAGTTACTTATATTCTGTTTCCATGTACCCTTTCTCCCCCTACCAACAGGTTGAATTCACTGCAGTACACTCCTAGGTGAGGCGGACCATCATCTACATCGAGCAGAGGTACTTGAACTGTGGCCAGCAGTTTGGCGGTGGGACCAGCGAGCTGGTGTCTGCATTCCTCGCGCGGCACGCCTCGCCCGATTGCCGTGAAGTGACTGTGGAGGGGATGAACAAGGAGGGTCAGCCCCGGGTACACAAGTTTCAGCTGCACGAGGAAGCAGAGAAGGGATACACCACCAGCAGCGGGGACATGCAAGGATGTTACACTTGCTGACGCTCATTCGCCCGCGAGCTAGTGTACAGCCTCGATCTGCGCTTGGGGGACATGACGCGCTTGAACAGGGCGAAGCTCTTCATGCCCCGCTCGTGGCCGAGGTGCGCGGAGACAAGAGATGCAGAGTGCAAGGAGCACCTGCACGGCCTCGTCCATCTGTTTTAGGCCAAGAACCGGGACACGATTTTTCCTGGTGAGCTAGTCCTAGAACCACCCTGATCTGCATGTGTGCATGCCTGTTTCTGTGGTTGCGTTATTCCCATGTTGTGTGCTTGAATTTATACCCGGTTGTGCTCTCCCGTTTGGTAGGTGTCCAGAAGTGTGCAGCACGAGTGGAGCTGCGCACGTTTCTGCCGGTGCTCTCCACTGCCCCCAAGGAAGAGCAGCTATTTCATGCAGGTTTGAAGGCCATCTTGCAGACCAGCGACTGGC